GGCGGGGCCTTAAAGGGCCAGTAACGAGGGGAGAGCAGGGGGCGAGGGGGAAACTGAGGCACGCAGCGAGGGGGACGCACAGCCAAGGGCACTGCTAAAGTGCCCTCAGTGCTAAAGGTCACAGGCTGAGGGGGGGCTCTGGGGAAGCCAAGAGAGTATTTACAGTTTTTCAACTCCTAGTTTAAGACAAGAGTGGTGGAAAAGGCGAGTCCCTGTTTGATCTTCAGCAGCTGCCGCCGTAACACTCCTCAACTTTGAAGTGCTTCTCTGCTGCAAACACAACTCTTGCAGCCCGGCTGCCTCCCTCTTTGATAATGCCACACAGCCGAGAAATTCTTTCCTGTAACACCCTTCAGGCCATTAACACACCAGGAAAAATGCTTGAAGCGACGCATCTGCTTGCATCAGGGAAGTTTTTAAGGGACGCACAGTGCTTTTTAAACTTGAAGGATGTGTCATGCTCTTATTTATAATGCAGCCTGATACACAAAGCTTTGTCGCTGTTATTTCCCTCATCATTCCAGAGAGCCCATTTGTTGGTTGGTTGTTTTTTTTTTTTTAAACCTCTGCACTGTTTGCTCTGTTTTCAATGATATTCAAATACCCACATAAAACAACCGCCTCCCCCGCCTGTGCTCCCACGAGCACTTATACGATAATGGCAAAGGGAAAAGCTGCTTTCTTACGCCCTGGTAAGTGCCCTTATCCAGCAACCGGGAAATGATCAACAAGCACTCTCCTCCCCCAAACCACCACTTACCCATGTGCAAAGGGATAACAAACACCAAATTAGCAAAGGAGCTGCGGGTAGGGAATTGTTTCCCTACTCCCTTCCCAGAGCTGGGGGGAAGATGGACTGGGGCTCCCTTCCTTCCTGCGCAGCAGAGGTCAGGTTTACAGGTTACTCACGCCTTAAAAGCAGTTTCTCTGCAAAATAACATATCAGCAAAAGGATAAAATAAACCTCGTTATGGAGGTCAAAGTTTTGGGTTTTTTTTTTTCTGTGAGATTTACTCTATGAACTCTACAACCACGCCATTGTTTGCGCTCTAGCCTGCAGAAAATGCAGCTGATCTCCATCTCCCAAGAAAAAACAAACAAACAAACAACAGCCTTGAAAAACACACACCACTTAGATTCAAAAAGTCACTTTTTTCAGCTTTTAACTTTCAAACTCATAAGGCAACAGAGGCAAATCGAAAACCTAAGTGCCAGGGAGCTGGTATGTGCTTCCTCCTCCGTTTCATCTCTTGGCTGGAAAACTTACCCTTCTACCAGTGGCTGACCCCACAGGGGGTCCTGCCCGTCCTACAAAAACCACATTGTTATCCATCTTCAGAGGGACTACAGCCAGACTACAGTAAAATATGGAAAATTCTCATTTAACATCCTTTGCTACAAGTCACAACCCAAAAGAAGCTCCAACAAGGCCTTTATTTCAAGCTGTTGCAAGTTGTGCATTTTCAATGGAAATTATTAAAATTACAGAAGGAAATTCTCACTTATCAAAATGACCATCAAAAAGCAGTATGTCAGAGACCAAGTCTTCTTGCATTACTTCCTAATACAACATATAATAAATACAAACAAGCCATACAAATACTTTACACGAGCAGTAAAATTTGTTTATTTTTTTAAGACATTCATTTGGTCAATTTACAAATAATCACTCTAGGCAGAGAGTAAAAAATATCATACAACAACATGAGTACAACCTCCATCTTATCCCTCAACTTTCTTATTAAAATGTAGAAATTCTCCTTGGCACTATGAAAATATATATATGTATGTATATATATACACTGTCCATTTTGTCTTTGTATTCCAAATATTAACAAAATCATTTTAAATGCATTGTTCTGGCTAGCATGAAATAACATTACAATTTATGAATAGTAATGGACAAATATCCCTTTTCTCTAGAAGGGCTGATAAAAGTACAAGTCTACAAAAAAAAAAATCTGTTGCTTTTAAAAACCACATAAAAAAACAAACTCAAAGTTGTGCTGTTTCCATCAACGCAGATGTTTTAAGATGTGTTTATTATAGACATTTAAAAGTAAATTGAAAGCTGTCCTTGTTTGAGCCTTTTCCCAATTGCATGAATTTATATTTAAGTTCTGAAAAACCACGTTCCTGCAGAGAGGGTAAACAGCAGCGTCCAACTCCAGAGAAAACAAAGCAGTGGGAAAAAAATACTATTTTTGAGACATTCAGAAAGCAACTTGGATGCTTAAAAAAAGACTTCTAAAACCAAAGGTAGTAAAAGATGGAACAAAACCTGTATTTCCCTCAGTCTTCAATACAGAACAAGAAAATCAGCTATACATATCTTTACTTTTTCCATTATTAGCTAACCTGCGTACCTGCAGTTGTTGATCTGCGCCCACTTTCAACCAGATCCATTTCATTGTTAAATACACAGACTGGGAATTGTTTTTAAGGCAGTCAATTAATCACTCTCTTCACTGGAGTCAAAAATGTCACTGAGTCGGAAAGCCTTCTTCTGTTCATCGGCTGTTGAATTGTCAGAACTAAGGCGTTTCCCCTTCCTTTTTTCTAACTTTTCTTCTAGTTCTGGAAGCTTCTCTTCAAAAAGATAATCAATAATTTCTTTGGGGGAGGAAAAAAAAGAGAGGAAAACAAAAAGTAGTCTTAATTAGATCTGTAATGGAATTGGGTACCCTGGGGAAACGGTATCTCACAGACAGCAATTATTTTGTCAGTGTTAAATGCAAAAAAATCTCACTATTCCAGAGTAATCACCGTGGCTGCAGGGTAGATCAGACACATACATACATGCAAAGATAAAATAAAAAAGCACAGTCATAAAACTTAAAGGCCAGGTATTAAAGAGAAGAGGTTGATAAGCATTGCATGAAGATGCCGTTGAAAGTAAACTGTTATTAAAAAAATAATAATAATTTAGTAAAATAAGTATAAAGCCTGAGATTTTAGCCAATTTACTTAGGGGAAAGCTAAATAAGAAAGCATTAAACTGGAATACATATCCTCTTAGATTCAAGCAAAAACCTTAAGGAGTATACACAAACAGCTGGGATACTGACCGGAAAAAGTCTTTTTTTGCCACAAAGGAACACAGGAGACTTTTAGCTTATAAAATTTTGCTTGAACGTAGGCTTTAGGAACACCTCTGAAAAGAGAAGAGCTCAAAGAATTAGCGGTGCAAGGAACTATTACAAAGTTTAGTTGTTACTGAGTTATCAATTCATGAGAGTGAGTGATGCCAGTCAAACAAGATCTTAGCTTCAGGTAAAAAGGATGGATTTCAAATCCTCATCCAAATGGTTTTTCAAGACAGCAGTTCCCCTTGAAGGTAAGAACCCAAACCCTCCCATTATACATATGCATTATATGCTTAGTGAAAAGACATAGTAAATGAAACTGAAAGTATATGGATAAAGAAAGAAACGCTGTAGAGGAAGTACAGCATTCACAGTACTGGTAATTTCATATTCAACACTTACTTTGTTTGGAAGACGACTATTATATTATATCACACACTCCAATAATTATCCCTTTTGCTATGTGCTGATTAACACCTGGAAAAGTCCTTTATCAGATACTTTAGCACAGACTACATAACATTTCTCGTATACGGGATGTGCTGGGAGTACAATGAGGGTTTCCTAAAGTGGTTAGAACTAAGTTTCAGAGATTATTGGCATGGTTTGCTGCTCAGTACTACGCAAGGATATACAACTGTATGTTACCAACTTAAATGACATTTCTATAGTTGCAGGGGTCTAAGAACTTTGATTCCTTTGTGGAATTTTTAAGACCGTCTGCTTCAACTATCCTTTGTATCCATAACAAGAGCGAAAAAACTTTACCCGATAGCATTACTGAGTTCTTCCCAGTTTACTTCATTAGCATCCTCCACTTGCATTTCATACAACCTGTGAATATAACACAGAAGCAGTTTGAAGGCAGAATTCAAGAAATAATTCAATAATGCTTACAGCTCCCCCAGTCAGAAGTCACAGGACGTTTTGTCCAAAAAAAGAGTGGTTGTGAAACCCGTATGAAACTGCAGGCCGTTCTCACCCAGTAAGTTTTTATAAACGCAACTCAGAACAGTAAGAGATACAGAAAGGTTACAGTGACTCTGAACTATACCTTTTAATAAGATTGATCTTGGCCTGTAATCCTTTGGTCCCCCTATATAGCTGCTGCCCCTTGGTGATCTTGTTTGTCAAAATTGTAGTCCTTTGAAAACACACAGAAAAAGATTTATATCATTTCAAGAAATTCCAAGCATCTAAAGGAAGCGTCTTCAAGATGCTACTGCTGCCACAGAGAAGCAGAAATCAGGCTTCACTATCACAGCAAGAAGAAAACTTACCATAGCTAGCAAAGAGTTATTTCTTAGCGTCGGACACATTTGCAACATCTTTCCTGTAGTCTACAACCTATTTATTACCTGTCTTACCAAACAATCGTCATGGCACAAAAACTTTTGCAGAATGGAGTTAAATGCACCCCAGAACACGGTTTACTATCTCAACTTAGTATATCTCAATATAGTAAAGGTAAAACCTTACCATTTCTGTTTACATTGTCTCCAATATCGAGTTCCCACTTTAGTTTCAATCTCAGTCCATGGTAATTTCTGGTACAGTGTCTCACGGTCAATCGAGATGTCTCTCTGTGACTTTTCCGATGATGAAAGAGAATTTGCGTCTTCCTTTTCCATCCTTTTCCTAATCACCTCCTCCACTGCTTGCATTAACTTCTGGGTCTCTTCCTTTGACCAAGGGCCATAATTAACAGCTAAAATTGAAAAATAAGGCATAATGTATCATAAACAATTAGGAAAAAAACAGCAAAAGAGCAAATGCTGCACTTTGCATTGCTCTTATTTAAATGACCAGCCTCTTAACAAGCTTCTCAGAAACTCTTCTGCATACCAGTTTCGAGAGAGGCATTCAGCCTAATCACTGAAGAACAGCACTGATCCCTAGTTTCTATCTTTTAAAACCTGGTTGCCAAGTTCCTCCTGCCCTCCCCCTGAAAGTATCTATTTAGATGCCCGTTCCATCTAACAAAGAGTTGCATTTGTTCCACCGCTTCTCTTCCTTTTTCTATCAGAGACTGTTCTTATCCCTTCTGTATGGAAAATGTGATCCGTGGTTTGGAAAAAAAGAACCACTACAAAAAAAATTAATTAAAAAAGAAGTCCACTCTAGGGATTTTTTTTCCTGAAGTTTAGGGCACATACAACATACAGTTAAAATAACATCTCAAATTGCAATACACAGAATAATTTTTTTTGCCTTAAAATTACATACCCGACTTGATTTCAGAGTATTTCATAGCAACTGAGAGGTTAGAACGGGACATCAACTCAGAAATCTTCTTCCAATCATTCCCATGCAGAGCATGATACTTCTTTAATTTTTCTTTTTCTTCCTTACTATACCTAGTTGAGGAAATGGGCACAGCTTTAGCTGTAAATTCAGACCATTCCAACATCTTAAAAGAGCTGTAATCTTTACAGGCATTTCAAAGTTACTCATCACTACCATTTCAAGTCACATTTTAGAACAGAAGAATTGATAAGGACTAGTCAGAAAAACAAACTGTCAATTAAGTCACAGTAACTGACACAAATAAGGGAGATTATCTTCATTTGTATCCATTTTTAATGTACAAATAAACATCAGAGACTGATGTTAGCATTTAGAAACTCTCTCAAATTACTCACCTCCCTTTATAATTATTTGGGTCAAACATCTTCCTTGCTCGGTAATATATCAGCCTCCAGGGTCGTGGTATACCCTCAGCTAGAAGGTAAATGTTTCATTTTTAAGAAATATTTCTCACACTGGTGAGGGTAATTCAAAAAAAAAAAACAAAAACAAAACAAAACCAAAAGAATAACATACATTTTCACGACCATGCTGTCAATGACAGATACCCTCCGTTCAAGAGAACATACTCTACAACACTTTGGTAAATGCACAGGAAATAGTCAGAACAGAATCTCCTGAGAAGCTTCAAAGATGTACTTATTATGACCTTGACAGGATTGTGAATGCTGACAGCCGGTAAATAATTGTGTGCCAGAGCACATAGGTGTGGGTGAGTATGGAAACCTGAACTTTTGAACTCTCCAGCACAAACGTGTTACTCATTAGCTACAAATTGTACGGCCCGGCTGTAAGTTTTGATAACATCTAAGTAATGTACTGAATACACCTATTAACAGAGAAAGATGAGACAGCCAGAAATCAGGAGGCTGATGAGATATTGTGATTCTGCATATAGACTAATTCGATGGGCAAAAGCGGTGACTAGGCGTATCCAGCAAAAACAAAGTAAAGATCTTGGCGGAAGGAAAGATCCTTGAAGTGGGGGAAGATCCACTGGGACCAATACTTGGGAACACATAACAATCTTGGTCAGCAACACGCAGAACAGATGACTGCAAGCGACTCGCATAACACCAACAGGAGACTCTGCCCGGTTTTCCCAGACCAGGAGCGACCTCCCAGATGGGGAGAGAAGTCAACACCAGGCAAACATAATGATGCAGGGGGAATGCCTGCATGCGTGAAAAAAATCAACAGGTATGTAGCCTCCATGACCGTTCAATAAATACTAGTATCCAAATCCATTACAGGTTGTCATTTACTCTGTCTTGCCTATGCTAATGATATAGAACAACGCAGAACAGAAAGCCACTGACCAAGTGCACTGAGTAGATTAATCAGAGATGTTACAAAGTGAACATGTTTGCCATACAAAGTGTTTGTGCATGTTTTCTAGCCAAAAGTAGCCTAACAAAATGAGGAAAGAGGAAGAGAAGAGATGCTTACCCTGCAAATAGAATCTCAGTCATAAGAATTTTACTGGTTTTCCTCACGACTTGGAAAACTACCTACTTTGGCTAATGACCTAATTTCACAGAATCATAGAATGGTTTAGGTTGGAAAGGACCTTGGAGATCATCGAGTTCCAACCCCCCTGCCATAGACCAACACCTCCCACCAGCCCAGGTTGCCCAAGGCCACGTCCAGCCTGGCCTTGAACACCTCCAGGGATGGGGCCTCAACATCCTCTCTGGGCAACCTGTTCCAGTGCCTCACCACCCTCAAAGTGAAAAACTTCTTCCTAATGTTTAATCTAAACCTGCCCTCTTCCAGTTTAAAGCCATTCCCCCTCGTCCTGTCACTACATGCCCTAGTAAAAAGTCCTTCCCCAGCTCTCCTGTAGCCCCTTTAGGTTCTTTCAGTTTCTGACATCACTCACTCAGTCCTAAACCTGCCACCTATTTATGTGCTCTAAGAATGGTTGACAATTTCAGAGAGGGCTTAATCACACCTGCCATTAATAAATCACTATGCTTAATTAAAGCCTGGCATATAATGCATCTTAAGCCATAAAGCCCAAATGCAAGTTTAAAAGTCTGTAAGTGCTGCTAATCATTATGATATTTTAACCTCTAACCTATTCATAACCGAGAAAAGATAGTAACATTATACTGTACAGATTATCAACTACATAATCTCAGCAGCATGCTCCTTTTTAGCCAGATTTAGCAACATTAGTGCTTCTCAATAAAAACATTGTTTTTAAAAATATATACTGATATCACCAGGTTATGGAATGTAACATTCAGCTATTTGAGAAGGAACTTAAATACTTACAAAGTTTTTCACAAAAGAGATGTTCTGCTTTTAGGCGATTTATAGTTTCTTTATCTTCTGGATACCTTGAGGTAAACAGGAGTTTTTCAGCACTGTCTATTCCAGTAATCAATAAGAATTCTTCAATATTTTTCCGGATTTGATTATTTTCCTTCTGGGAAAATCTGCCAAACTTGACAGCAATACCTAAAATATACAGAAAGTTTTATTAAAAAAAAAAAAAAAAAGAAAGAAGCAAACCTCAAGTACCATCTCTCGTGCATTACACTTCAGGTTTTAACAAAGATAATGTCTTGGTTTGAGGTAAAACAGAACCAATTTTCTTTTCGGTAATTTTACTTTTCAGTTAAGCCTCTTCTAATTGAACTCTCTGAAATTAACACATTTTTCAGACAGGTTTTCAGACACATTTTTCAGGCTTCTGGGAACAGTAAAACCTAATGTTTATAGTTAATACCAAGGGATGGCATGCAGAGAGCCTCTTCCTTATACTTACTGCTATAACAGCCAAGGCCAGCTCACTTTGCTATATGCCCCATTGGAGGGTCGGAAAAGGAAAAAACATAAGAAGCGGAGAAGCGGACAGGACAGGTGACCCAAACCTGACCAACAGGGTATTCCATCCCATCTGCCTCATGCTCAGTATAAAAACTGAGGGATCAAAGGGATCAGCCCTCTTTCTTCAGTGGCTGGTGTCTGAGGAGGACTCTGTCTGTTCATCTGCTTTTGATCCCGATCCACATGTTCCTGAATCCAGATCTGAGTTCAGCTCCCATCCATTGCCGAGTCCAGTCTGGGACTCTCCCAGTGCCCACTGACGTCATCATCATCCTGGGAGCTCGATACGGGTTTGTATATATTGTATATATTTCATTATTTTCTTATTAATATTCTTATATTTTCTTCATATTATTTTATTATTAATATTTCATTAAAGTAGTTTAGTTTCTTTTAAACTCATAAGTTCTCCCTTCCTCTCATTCTTCTCTCACTTGGGAGAGAAGTTAGAGTATCCGTCATTCATTTTAGTGCCCAGCCCAGCCCAAGCCACAACACATATAATGAAAGATCAACAAATTCTAAAGGTGAAAAAAGAAAACTGAAGAGAGACAAAATAAGAGCTGGGAGCAGGTAAATTACACATTCACTTTTGACTGTAATTTGTCAACGAGGAAGTAGATACTACAAAGCAAAGAAACAGAAAGTATGTCCATTGGAATGAAGTGAACCAGACTCCACGCATGTGACAGACAGTACAAAACCAAACGATTTTCTCTCTCTCAAAATATTAGCACAGCTGCACAGTCCTTCCTCACTGCAACAATATTTTGAGAGCTCACCTTGTTTTTTAAACTGTTTAAACCTCACTAGGTCTCTTCTAGCCATCTTCCTGATTGAACTCTCTGATATATTCCGCACATGAGGAATAAACTCTTCCAATTCTTGTTTTGCAGTATCCAAATCCACAACTGAACATGTGGTAGAGTCCAGGAACTCTTCATCATCCAGATTAAGCTCATCAAGGGCTGCCATCTCAGTAAAGGAACTATTCTGGTCCTTCTTTCTATTTGAGGCTGAGGGTTCTGGTGTCCTGACACACACACAAAAAAAAAAACCCAAACACAAACAAAACAAAAAAAGAGTAAAATAAAATACACCACTAGAGCTCCAAAACAGAGATTTTGTTAGTATCTCTTCCATTAAAAGAATGAACATGTTCATTAATTAAGGAACACAGAATACTTCATACATCTACCCCCTTGTATTTCCAACCTTTTAGCACTGACATTATCAAATTATTATTATCAAATTTCTATACTTACAATATTCAAAGAGCTTGCTGAAGTTTTGAAAATCCGCACCCTTCCCACAAAACTCTCTCACATGGACATACAGAAGAAATAGCGTCTCTTGCTACCACTGGCAACCCAGAACTTTTCCATCTGTCTCTTACTAGTGCTCTTATTGTAAGTTCTAGACACTGCAAAAGCACCAACAGCTATTTACACGAGCATCTGTTCACACAGAACACTAAATTCTTTAGCTGACCTCGCCTTTTGTTTGGCAAAAATGCCTACGTTCACTATAAATATCAAATTTAACAGATGGAATCCCTTTCTTTTTTTTTTTTTTTTTTCCTAATATGAATTACTTGCATATAAATTATTTCTATACCTACAGTTTTTACGTTGAAGGAAATAGTCTACATTGAAAGCAATGGTACTGTATTCTTACAAATTTTACTGTATTGATAACTAAGCTCTTAAAGTAGCTCTCAACATCTCATCTGTAACATCTCAACATACTGTAAAGGTTTTTGAAGTTGTTTTTAAAAATACATACAACACAGACTCAAGAAAAATCTGGAATCCAAATAATGTGATAAAAACATATCTGGGGGGTAGGAAAAGCAAACAAACAAACCCAAACCCTAAACTTACATTACGTCAGATTCTGAAGAGCTGTCTTCCATGACAAAAGCACTGCTTTTTATTCGCTTTTTGGCATGCACTGGAGTTTTTTTAGGAGTTCGATCATCTGCTTTAGTTGTCTTTGAAAAATCAGTAGGTACATCCATAGAATCTTCACTCACAGCAGAAGCAGCATCACAGTCACCATCTTCATGCCATTGCTGCGGTGTTGCCACACTGCCCTCTTCTGTAGGTGACAGCAAGACTGTGTCTTCCCCTTGCCTGTTTTGCTCAGGACATGACAACAGTGATTGGTCAACGGTTACACCTGTGTCTTCCTGCGTATCTTGGGTATTACTGCCTCTTTTCTTCTTCTTTTTTGATTTTTTGTCATTTTTATCACGTGTTTCTGTGGTAGGCAGCTCACGTACCTCATCCCCATCAGGCAATGATTCTTTTCTTTTCTTCTTAACAGATTGTTTTAAATAAATGTAATCAGCATTGATCTCCTGACAACTACCAGTGGTATGCTGATTTACTGTGACACAAATTGCATCACTTTGATCATCTGTACCATCATACTTCTGCTTCTTTTTTTTCTTTTTCTTTTGGGAAGCATCTACTCCATTTTCATTACTAACTTCATGTTCCAGTCCTACACAAGAATTATCCAATGAAGGCTGTTGCTTCTCCCCCTTGTTTTTTTTTTTCTTCTTCTTTTTACGGCCTTCTCCACTCTGTGCTGCTCGATCTTCACAGAGCAGTGGTGAAGCACGGCTAATCTCTGCATTTTGTATACTTTCTCTTTCATCATTTTCATGTTTCTTATTGTATTCTTTATGTTTTCTCTTTTTCTTCTTCTTGAGAAAATCCTCAACTTGAAAATCATCTGCACTTGCTTTTTCTGTCATATTTTTTCTTATCTTAAAGAAAAGAGATAAATTTTACTCAAGTGCTACAATCTGTGTACCGTTACACATTGTTACAAACTAAAACCAACAAAACAAAGCAGCCCAAAACATTAAAATATTATGGAACTCAATATTATCTGAGAAACAGATGATAAAGATACTTACTTTTCAATCCAGCTAATACTGTAAAGTGACTATGAAAAAGTGATGTTTTCTTCATTAAACAGATGTGCATCACAGCTGTATTGCCTTAAAATTGCCTTCCTAGAACAACAAAGATATACTTTAATAACTAATACCTTTAAGTTGATTTTGCATAACTAAGCAATGACAGAATGCTATATTCAACTCTGCTTCCAGCACTGAAACAGCAACAAGCCAAAGGTAATAAAGAAACATTAAACTAATCAGCATTAAAACCAAGTTCTCTAATTAGAAGCTCCTGACTATGTTCAAACAGGCCGAGCCCCACCAGTTCCCACAGACTGTAACCAGAACAAATCTATTCCTGAAAACCACAGATACGCAGTGCGGGTGGGAATTATTTTTTAGCACGTTTTCTACGGCCAGCACATGAGTAACACTTACAAAGCAACATCCTGTCATCTCGAAACACAAGACCCCGAATTTCACATCCCCAAATCCCCACAACAGTTTCCAGCAGCACTAGACATTACCGCCGGGAAGCGGCTGCTCTCAAATCTATTCCTGAAAACCACAGATACGCAGTGCGGGTGGGAATTATTTTTTAGCACGTTTTCTACGGCCAGCACATGAGTAACACTTACAAAGCAACATCCTGTCATCTCGAAACACAAGACCCCGAATTTCACATCCCCAAATCCCCACAACAGTTTCCAGCAGCACTAGACATTACCGCCGGGAAGCGGCTGCTCTGAAACCCCCGGAGACAGCCACCAAACCGCACGCCACCAGGCAGCTCTGGGGACCGTCACCAAACCCCACTTCACCACACAGCTCCGCCCCAGCACTGTGCTAAGAAAGCCAGGCCGTGGGCCACCAGCCCACGTCCCGTCCCGTCCCGTCCCGTCCCGCCCCGCCGGGCCGCCGCTAAC